CATCCGATTTGATCTTTAAGTCCCTCACATTCCTACTACGCACTCCACAACCGTGATATTTGGTACCAGGTATTAGATGGAGCACAGAAATAGCTGTTTTAAATTTTATCGAAATCGGTTCAGATTTGGATATAGCTCCCGTATATATCTTCATCTGATTTCGGGTTAATTGACCACCAAATGGCCAATATCAGCCCAAATGGCCCGAATTTTGGCACATGTGACCGAGATTAGCCTTAAAGCAAATGCAACAAATTTGGAGAAAATCGGTTCAGAAACAGCTATAGCTCCCATATATATGTTTTATCCGATTTGGTGTTTAAGCCTCTCACATTCGTAATATGCACTCCACAAGAATGATATTTGGTACCAGATATAAGATACAGCCCAGAAATAGCTGTTTGTAATTTTATCGAAATCGGTTCAAATTTGGATATAGCTCCCATATATATCTTCATCCGATTTCGGGTTAATTGTGCACCAAATGGTCGATATAAGTCCAAATGGACTGAATTTTAGTACATCGGACCAAATTCAGCCTAGAAGCAAGTATATCAAATTTAGTGAAAATCGGTTCAGATATAGATATAGCAACCATATATATGTTTCATCCGATTTAGTGTTTTAGTCCCATACATTCGTAATATTCACTCCACAACCGTGATATTTGGTACCAGGTATTAGATGGAGCACAGGAATAGCTGTTTTAAATTTTATCGAAATCGGTTCAGATTTGGATATAGCTCCCATATATGTCTTCATCCGATTTCGGGTTAAATGTGCACTAAATGGTCAATATCAGCCCAAATCACCTGAATTTTCGTACATAAGACCGAATTCAGTCTAAAGCTAATACGTAAAATTTGGAGAAACCCGGTTCAGAGATAGCTATAGTTCGTAAAATGCACGATAAAATTAGATAGATTTTGATTTTGTACCAAATATCATAGAGCTCTGAAATGCCCTGTATAAACCTTTTTACGAGAGCTCTACTAAATATGCATAGTGGTGTAGGGTATCATATAGTCGGCCCCGCCCGACTTTTGAGCTTTCCTTACTGGTTTCTACTGTTTATTTATTTCTTTTTGTGATTTTAATTTGAAAATATTGTTTTGGAATCAGCAAGACTAATTGTTTTTGGAGAACAACTTTACAAAATGTGAAAAACGTAAATGTTAATATGTAATAAGAAAATAAAAGACTATTTCCAACATTTTTATTTAAAAAACTTGTAAAATTAGTATTGGTTCCTTTGTTTTAATTCTCCTTATGGGGGACAAATTGGTTTGTTTTGACAAATCAGCTGATTAGTTGCAAGCTTCTGCAGGAATAGCGTCTGTTTACTTTTCGCATTTTCCTTGCAAAAGAGAATAAAACTACCTTACTCTCTCAGAAAGAAGTTGCTGGACAATTCCTGCTGGAAAAGTAACCAGACACACCTAATGTCTGACTGAGTACCTACCATGGTAGAAGAATACAGGTAGCTGCATCAACGCTTGGGAACATTAATAAGTCAAAAAATTTTAAATGTTATTTCAAATATAAGTAGATTTTTATATGTGTTCTTATACGACGGCATTCGGAGGTTATTATAATTCGCGGTTTTCAACAAGTTTTACAAATTTAAATAATTTTTCATTCAACATTTTCAATTTCAAAATTGGTTTGACAGTTCATTGTCCCAGCAGCTGTGTTGATGCGTCTACCCATATTCTTCTACCATGGTACCTACTGATACAGAGTTGCTACTGAATTCTCGAAGTGAGACTACCTCTCTAATTTTGTCATGATCCTTACAAATAGTAAAGCTACTATTAGAGCCATAACGTTCACAACATTAAAATCAAGAACGGCTTTGGGCTGCATAAAAACTAATAACGAATCCACATTTGGGCTTTGGGGGTATTATATGTTTTACCCGGTCATGAAGGAGGTTGGGGTAGCAAACTCACAGGCAAGGAATGCAGGAGAATTAGCCACAATTAGTTTAGAGGTGCGTTCTATTTCACCCTGTTTTTATTTTACCCTTACAACATTCACTCATTTTTCATTTCTAAATTCTCAAATTGGCGCCAAAACACTTACCCATTGGTATTGAAAAACTGGAATTACAAGTGGCAATCACTCGATCGAAATCGATAATGTTTGCATCGAGATGGGAAGGTGTAGAGCTTACAATTGATTCCTCAGTGGTTATATATTCTTTTTCTATGATAAATTGATGCTCGCGTAGAAATTTCTCTTCACTGACGACGTAAATATCACCATTATCCTTGGCTTTTTCAACCGTACCTCTACAACTTGCAATGAGTACCAAACTTATAATGCAAATGCAATATTTCATACTCGTATGCCTTTTAAACTGTGAATGATTTAAGCTAGACATGGAGTTGCGTGTTTGATTTAAAGGGTATTTATAGCTTTTTAAAATCTCTAATCATGGTGTTACCACTTTGATTTAATTTTAAGCCCAAAATTTAGTATAGAGAAATTCGTGTGAAATCGTAGATCACAAACAAACAGTGAAATAATTTCCACAATAATGAGATTTATAAAGAGAAATAAGTAAAAAAATGCAAGTTCGACAGGACCTTTGAATACCCTCCACCATTTGAAATCAATTTGCCAACTCTCAAAAACAATAAAATCCGTTAAAAATTCTGTTAAAATCTTAAAAATACCGAATGTAGCTGTTATATTGGGGTGTATACGACGACATGGACCTGCATAGGGAACTTTTGTCATAAACCATTACAATATTCAAATGCGAAACTTAAAAAAATCGTTGAATAATGTGGCTAAAATCATCAAAATACCGAATATAGGGAGGTACTGTTATATGGGGGCTATACGAAGACGTGAACATGCACAGACAATTTTCTCTCTTAGGCTGTAGTATCCATAACTAATTTCAAATACCAAATTTGAAAAGTTTCCGGTGAATAATGTCGCTAAAATCATTGGGAGGTACCGTTATATTGGGGCTATACAAAAACGTGAACCTACATGGCCCATTTTCAATACCAAAAGTCCTGCAGACATTATATACATTTGAGTAAAATTTTATCAACCTACTTCATTACGTTCGAAAGCTAGAGTGATTTCCACTGCCGGACGGACATCGCTAAATCGACATAGAATTTTATGCTGCAGGTCTGCTTGACATTTCATTCAAGTGGTCTTGTACATTTACTGAGCGCATCGATATCTGTGCGTGTGGGTCATAACCTTTATTATCTTGCCCATTATCGTATGCGTCAGCGCACCAGATCACCGAATTGTTCACATGTGGTGTTTTATGGCGACTGGGAAATATGTAATTTTAGAATATACAGGGTCATATAAAAAACTGCAACAAAGACAAAGGGCATAATTTTTACACTGTTTTTTAAATTTATTTGAATGAAAGTAAAAAATGTTGGAAATAGCATAAATTTTTAGAATAATTCTACATTTGTTCGAATTGGTCACCTTTGGTACAAATTATGGCCTTCAAACGGCCAATGAAACCGTCAAACGCTGCCTGAATATTGCTCTGTGGTATTTTGGTCCATTCCCGACGAAGCGCTTGCTTGAGGTGATGGACACTTTGGTATTTTTTAGTGTCAACCTAGCTTTCCAAAATACTCTAGACACAATAGTCCAACGGATTGGTAACCGGAGATTTTGGTGGCCATAGTGCGCTGGAAATAAAGCGAGGAACCTCATTTTGTAACCATTCTTGGGTGGCGCGTGCTGAGTCCTGTTGGAATGTCCAAGGTTTGCGGCGAAGATGTTTGCGTGCCCATTGCTTTATAGCACCCCCAGAATATTTTCTCGATAATATTCGGTATTTATTCTGATGCCACGGTCGATTAATAGAAGCGGAGAGCGACCATCAGCTGTTATGGCGGCCCACACCATCACCATGGCCGTCTCTTAAGTTCTGGTGGCCAACCGAAGGTGCATATTTTCAGCTGACCTCTTTGGCAAGTAAACACTATCATTTTGTTTGTTTACAAACTGCTGGACAACAATTTTTTTCTCGTCGGAGAAAACCAAATTCAGCACTTCACCGCTTTCGGCCAAGCGAAGCAACTCTTTAGCTATTTTGAGTCTATTTTCTTTCTATTGCGGTGTAAGTTCTTGCACTTTTTGGAATTTCAATGGCTTTACTCCGAGCTGATTTTTCAATGTTTGCCGAATGGAATATTGCGATATGTTCAGCTCCCGAGCCATTTTTCGACCACAGCGACGCGGGTTTCGATCAAGTCGCTTCTTTACTTTTCGAACCACTTCTGCTGATGTTGCTGTTTTCTTTCGTCCACTTCCTTGACGTCGGGCTACGCTACCAGTATCACGTTAACGAGCGATGGTTCCGGCACACAAAAGATTGAATCACATTTAAATGCTGAAGTGCTCTTACGATAGCCACTTGTAGTTTTCCAGCCAAATATAAAGAAATTACACTATCACGTTTAAATTCCATCACGAGTAACTTTTTTTTCTGGAAAATTCTCACCAAAATGATTTTGTACGCTTGTAAACAATATAATGAGCTGTCACTGAAATAATTTTAACAGCTGTCAGACGAGTGGCTTGGAGATGACAGCAGTCTGAAGTTGATTGCAGTTTTTTCATCTCACCCTGTATACTCTCTCTAGCCATATGGCTAGGGGCCTGACTGTCAAACCAATTTTGGAATTGAAAATGTTGAATGAGAAATTATTTAAATTTGCAATAAATGTTGAAAAACTCGTATTATAATAACCTCCGAATGACGTCTTATAAGAAAACTGCTTGTATTTGAAATGACATTTAAAGTTTTTTGACATATCGATGTTCCAAAGCGCTGATGCTTCTACCTGTATTCTTTTACCATGGCTGAGGCTATATAAAAAGGTAAAAACCGCCAAAATCTTCTCAAACAAGCACTACTTTTGAAAAATGTCTCATTCTCTGAAAAAAAATCGACAAAAGTGGCAACATCCCATTTTATGAACACACGCAATGAGAGAGAGTTAGTTTTTTAAACAGTTTTTTATTTATTTGTTTATTGTACTGATAAATATACATAAATACTATATAATTGATATAATAGTAACAATATTACGTTATATATGTAATTGTTTTTTTATTATTATTTTTCTGAATACAAATATTACAGTTAGTAGTTGTACGGCTGGAATTGTAGTGTTTTTTTTGCTACTATATTTAACGATATAGAACGGAACATAAATTTTTGTGAATTTTTCTAGATTAGAATTAGGTTGGTTAGCATTGACATTAAATTATAATACTAAAGGTGGAGATTTTTGAAAAAAGATTAAATTTCCATATCCAGAAAGAAAAGGTTCGAAACAAAGAAAAATGTTGGCAATCTAAAAGAATTCAAAACTACTAACAAGATCTAAATAATCAAAATCGCACGTTACGTTTACGTCGCGCTTTGACTATTTAGGTATAACCTGATATCGATGACAGTTGGTAAGCCAGCTGTTTGTGACATTCTACCAGAGAGACAAATTGTTTGGTATTTTTAATAATTTGGTTATTCTACACACAAAAAACAAAAATGCTAGGATAGAGGCGCAACAGTGAACAGCAAAGCAGAGAGAAGTTACGATTAGTGACGAAATATAAAAATGAAAATTATTTTCCAATGCAAATTTTTTGTGGGGGATTTAACTAAAGAAGATTCACAATCAATTTTTGTTCTCAATAAAAAATAAGACATCAAAAATAAAGCCTAAACATAATTACATTATTTTATATTTTTTGCAATAATTTTGTAATTTTTTTTATTTTTTTTTTTTCACTTTGTTTGTATTTTTTTTTTAAACTACTCTATGCAGCGTCCATGTTGCATCCAATCGTCAAACTTTGGCACCCCATGCACGCTTAATCATGTATGCACCCTTTTCAGCAATCATTACAGCCGGTGCATGTGTATTGCCGGCAGTAACCTTGGGCATAATACTTGTATCAATAACTCTGAGACCGCGTATACCATGTACTCTTAACTCATGATCGACCACCGCCATGGGATCGCTGGCTGGACCCATTTTACAAGAACCAGCTTGATGATTTTCTGGGCCAGTATTTTGCCGGACGGCACATTCCCAATATGCATCCGATCCAAAGGTTTCGGATTCACAACCCTTGGCAACGGTGCGATCCAAACGCATGCCATACTGTTTCAATGGGGTAGTTTGTGACAATTTAATGGCAAATTTAATGCCTTCCACCAAGACCTTGACATCACGTTCATCGGTCAAATAATTTGCAAAGATGCGTGGCGGTGCCAGGGGATCATTTGAGGCCAGTGTAATGTAACCTCTAGATTTTGGATTTAATACAGCTGGGAAAATTTGTATGCTTCTCGAGTTATTCGAAAGTAATTCACCAACTTGTCCGGTACGTGCACAACTTGCCAAATAACCACCAAAATAGTATTGTAAATCTGGTACACCGGGTCTATCGGCAAAACGTGTGGCCATTTTTGCTGTCACATCGGAAACTCCAGTACCCGACATGAGGCCATCACGGAAAAGTAAATATTCCATAGCTGTAGCCCAATTCAGTGGTGCAGTATCGGCGTCATCAATGAAGAAATTCGTGAAATAGGCCACATGGTTGTGTAAGTTTTTACCAACACCGGGTAGATCATGTATCGGGCGAACGCCAACCTGTCAAGGAGTAAAGAAAAAAATATTTAAGATTACAGAATTTAAAAACTGAATGAATGGAAATTGCAAAAAGTTTAAGCATTGAGAAGTGACTAGGAAAAATCAAGGAACCCATGGCAAATCAAAATCATGGTAGTCTGAATAAAAAATAATAAATGTCTTGAATTTTTGGACTTCAACATCAATGTATACTACGACAAGTAAAATAACTAATTTTTAACCCAATAATTTATTTAAAAATGTATATACCAATATAACTTATAATTCAAGCACAGTATAAGTCATGATACCCCTGGGAGGAGGTTTTAGACATAAATTTATGTTTAGAAACACGTATAATCGAAATCCTGAACTGGAGGGTCTCAGATGAAAACCCCTTTTTGGATCATCGGCATATAAGATTTGAAATAACACGGCCACCGCTGAATCCGATAAGTTTCCGGAACAAAGCCAAAACTGACTGGATAAAGCTTGGGAAACAAGTAGAAGAAAGACAAGGGCAAGGGAAAACTGAATACCCAATAAATGATATAGACAAAAAGGTCAATATTTAATGGAGATCTTAGTAAAGTCTTTCGAAAAAATCTTAACCGCTTCGAGGGATGAAATCTTTCTACAAAAAGCCATGAAAGGCAGGGGAAATTCGTAACAAAGAAAAAATAGGCCCGAAAGCTTAACCATATAGCTCGACGTAAAAAATTAGTAGCATTCTGGGATAGCTTCCACAATAAACTCAAAGAATACAAAAAAAAAAATAGTCAGGACAGAAAAACGCAATTCTTGGAAGCTTTTCTGCGAACAGTTTGACAGCGTAAATGATGGTTCAAAAATTAAAATTAAATGAATTTTCGTTATTTTTGATTAACACACACTTCCCGCCGAGCCTCACGACACACGTCGGAAGATATGAAGAAACATGCAGCGGGACCAGATATGGTCTTACCGGCTATGCTTTAAAAGGAAGTGGATTACGTTTCGTCTAACATAGCCGGAATTTTCAACGCGTGCCTAAAATTTGCGTACATCCAAAAGCCTGGCAGGAGGCGAGGGTAGTTTGTATACCCAAACCCCAAACGCAGTATCTAAAGGTGAGAAAACATTAAACGCTTTTCTGACTTAAGACATCGGCTAGCTTATTCGGAAAAGAACAAAGCAGCGTAGGGCCAAAGTCGAACGAAGTCAACCTAAAACGTCTTTGTTATTTTCCGAAGAAGTTAGCCGATGACTTAAGCCAGTCAGAAAAGCGTTTTATGTATTCTCACCTTAAGTCTAATATCATTCCTACTCAAAACCATGATTAATAGCAAGATCTCAAACGGCATGCTTAAGTATAAACAATATTCATACGTTAAAGGACGCTCAGCGGAAACCGCATAACTTAAGGTACCGCTAAAATATTAAAGAAAGTCCAACGAATGTTCTGGTTAAGCATTTGCAGGGCAATGAGGACAACACAAACTAGGGCTTTAGAGACAATTTTATATGTATTCCCAATAGAAATTGAGATAAGGTATAAACCGGCCGTCGCGGTCATAAGACTCAAGACGATGGACGAATGGATAAATAAAGCCTACGTTGCATACCATCGAAAAATTTTGCGGGTAACAACTGTCGAGTCAATGGAAAACATTGTATCGGACCGGATATCTCAAACAATTGTAGTTGTCTCATGTGAAATATTACTTCCAAACAGACACTCATGGATCGACAGATTCCTATAACAAATGCGTACTGGAAACCGTTGTTGAATAAACGGCTCGGTACTAGGGGAAGAGCGGACTAAGAGTTCTATTTGAAGAACCATATACCGTAATCTCTCTTCGCTTGCCCGATCAAACTACGGTCCCTGAAGCGGAGGTCCAGGTGATTGCAGAGTGTCTGAACTGGCTGAACACTATACCGGCTAACGTAAACGCTCTAACGGACCATAAGATCGCAATAAAACCTATAACAACCCAGACGTTGAAATCAATAACTACATTGGAATGTTTAAATTCAATCAATAACTATTTTCAACGCGGCTCAGTACGCATTGTATGGGTTCCAGGTCAGGCGTGGAATAGAGGTAAGAAGATAGCAGGGAATTAGTAAAACAAAACAGGCAGGGAATTAGCAACAGTAAACTTGAACAATCCAAAGCCGCAAAATTCGTCACGTCTAGAGTGAATAATGAAGAAGTGAGGAAAACAACAAAAATCCTATGGGGAGACCCCAAAGAGGTAAAAACGAAGAACCTTTTATTAATAGATAAGAAAGAGATTGGTAGGGTAACAGGCATCCCTACTGGTCGCCTGATGATGATAAGAATTTCAAATAAGAAATTTTAAACAATTTCGGTGAATATTGTACCTGAAATCGTCAAATACCGAAATAGAGAGGTACTGATATATGGGGCCTATACGAAGACGTGGATCTGCACAGACAATTTTTTGTCATAGGCTGTAATATTCATTACGAACTTCAAATACCAAATTTGAAACAATTCCGATCGCTTTAATTACTAAAATACCGAAAATAGGCAGGTACTATACCAAAACGTGGACCTACATGGCCCATTTTCAATCTCAAAAGTCCTGCAGACATAATATACACAGACGCACAGAGGTGGAAAATCGTCTTAAAATTTTATGCTGATCAAGAATATTTAAACTTTGTGGGGTCTAAAATGTATATTTCGTACCTTCTATACTAGGTATGGTGGAGGGTATGATGTCTAGATGCAGTAGCTAGTTTTTCGAAAGGTATTTTTTAAATTTCCCTATAACCAAAAATATTTAAATTCTTACCTTTTTCAAATCTTCCTTAGGTCCAACTCCACTCAACAGGAGAATTTGTGGTGAATTGACAGCACCACCACTGACGACCACCTCCTTTTTCACCAAAATTTTACGCATGCTACCAAATTGATCGCTAACCTCAACGCCCAATACAGTTTTGGTGCCAGGATGGATCAAAACTTTGGTGGCTGTGGTATTCAATAGAATGTGGAAGTTTGTGCGCATACGAGCCGGACGAATAAAGGAACGTGCCGAACTGTAACGTATGCCGTTGCGTGATGTCATTTGGGCAATCATGAAACCGGTGGAATTGTAACCATTCAAATCGTGGACGGAGAAACCTAAAGACGATACAAAACCCAAATATAAATACTAGAATGAGTGCAAGTGCGTTTTCAAACTTACCCAACTCTTCACCAGCCTTTAAAATGGCATATGATAGCGGTGGATTGTAGGGGAATTTACCCACCGGCATTGGACCACCGGTACCGTGCAAATCAGCACCAACCTCATCAACTTCCAAATTATTTTCAGATTTCTTGAAAAATGGCAAAACCTCATCGTAGCTCCAACCCGGATTACCCAAGGCCGCCCAGTCGTCATAATCTTCCCGATTACCTCGAATGTACATCATACCATTGATGACAGATGTACCACCCAGGACTTTACCACGTGGCCAGTAACAACGTTGTCCTTCCGACGACAGACATGCTGAGGTTTCCGGTTCAGTATTATAGCCCCAATCAATGTCACTGCCCATGAAATTCAAAAACATTGAAGGTATTTGTGCTCCCACTGGTTCATCGCCACCTAAAAAAAGTGAAAAAAAGTTACGAGGTTATTATTAATTTTAGACTGAAAAAAATTAACTTTCAACAAAAGCTGTAAATGATTATTTGGCGCCACAAAACGAAATACTTAGAGTAAGGTTAAACGGACGAAAGAGACAAAGAGTAATGCAAAGAGACTTGTCCTAACATAGGCACTAATAGGAACGCTCCGTCGACTACGAAAATGTGGAAATTCCAGACAGAGAGATGTAGTGTCGTGAGTTGACATCAATGACTGATTGTCGCAGTCTATTGATAATCTCTTGAAAGATATATAGGGTGAGATGAAAAACTGCAACCAACTTCAGACTGCTGTCATTTCTAAGCCATTCGTCCGACAGCTGTTAAAATTATTCCAGTGACATCTGATTATATTGTTTATAAGCGTACAAAAGCATTTTGGTGAAAATTGTCCAGATAAAAAGTTATTCCTGATGGAATTCAAGCGTGATAGTGTGATTTCTTTATATTTGGCTGGAAAACTACAAGTGGCTATCGTTAGAGCACTCCATCATTTAAATGTGAATAAATCTTTTGTGTGCCGGAACCATCGCTCGTTACCGCGATACTGGTAGCGTAGCCCGACATCAAGGAAGTGGACGGAAGAAAACAGCAACATCAGCAGAAATGGTTCGAAAAGTACAGAAACCCGCGTCGCAGTGGCCGAAAAAACGGCTCGTGAGCTGAACATATCGCAATATTCCATTCGACAAATATTGAAAAATGAGCTCGGGGTAAAGTCATTGAAATACCAAAAAGTGCAAGAACTTACACCGCAACGGAAAGAAAATAGACTCAGAAGAGCTAAAGAGTAGCTTCGCTTGGCCGAAAGTGGTGAACTGCCGAATTTGGTATTCTCCGATGAGAAAACATTCGTTGTCCAGCAGTTTGTAAACAAACAAACTGATCGTGTTTACTTGCCAAAGAGGTCAGCTGGAAATGTGCACCTTAGGTTGGCCAACAGAACTCAAGCGCCGGCCATGGTGATGGTGTGGGCCGCCATAACAGCCAATGGTCGCCCTCCGCTCGTATTAATCGATCGTGGCATCAGAATAAACGACGAATATTTTGTCGAAAATATTCTGGAGGGTGTTTTAAAGCCTTGGGCACGTAAACATTTTGGCTGCAGACCTTGGACATTCCAACAGGACTCAGCACCATTGCACTCAGCACGCGCCACCCAAGAATGGTTACAAATGAGGTTCCTCGCTTCATTTCCAACGCATAATGACCACCAAAATCTCCGGATACTAATACATTAGACTATTGTGTCTGGAGTATTTTGGAAAGCAAGGTTGGCACTAAAAAATACCAAAGTGTCGATCATCTCAAGCAAGCACTTCGCCGGGAATGGGCCAAAGTGCCGCAGAGTAACATTTGGGCAGCGTGTGACGGTTTCATTGGCCGTTTGAGGGGCATAATTCGTGCCAAAGGTGACCAATTCGAGCAAATCTAAACTTATTCTAAAATATGTAATTTGATCGAAATCGGTATAGATATAGCTATAGCTCCTATATATATTGTTCATCCGATTTGTTATTTTTGTCCTCCGCAGCCGTAATATGAACTCTGTAACAACAGAAATACATTTGCTAAATTTTATCGAGATCGGTTCAGATTTGGATGTAGCTCCCATATATAACTTCGTCCGATTTACCTTTTATTGTACACCAAACGTCTAATATTTGACCAAATGGGATGGAATTTGGCACATGCGACCGAATTGAGTCTAGAAGCTATTATGCCAAATTTGGTGAAGATCAGTTCAGATATAGCTATAGCTCCCATATATATTGTTCATCCGATTTGTTGTATTTGTTAACCACAGCCGTAATATGCATTCCGTAACAACGATATTCAGGGAAATATATCAAATACAGCTCAGAAATATCTTTGCCAAATTTTATCGAGATCGGTTCAGATTTGGATATAGCTCCCATATATATCTTTATGCGATTTTAAATTAATTTTGCACCAAATGGGCAATACAAGTCCGAATTTAAAAGATACAAATGCTTCAGCATATTTAGTCCTGTGAATTTTAAATTATAATCATAGCGTATATGATTGAATTCTTCCATAAAAACTTCTAATGGTTGTGTGGAGCTCTACTAAATTAGCAAAGTGGTGTAGGGTATTATAAAGTCGCCCCGCCCGACTTTAAGATTTTCTTTACTGGTTTTTATCTCACGCTGTAATCGCTCAGCCTTTCAACATCATCATATCAACATTCAACGTTCAACATCATTCTATCTCCAATCAATGAATTAATATCGCTGTTTTATCAGTCTTAATAAATATAGTTTTTATAATGTCAAACGCGTGCCTTTTATTTCCTCAACAAACACAATAAGAGAGAAAAGTGACTCTCTTGAGAGTTTAAGAATCCAAGAGACCAAACACACTTCTATGAATAACACCAAAGAAAATAAAAACAAGGAATATGATTCTCTCACAGCAGTTGCAAGCAAAGAGAAGAACAAATCTTAGCTTGCACCAAGTGGAAGGAGGTAATACAGGCTAACGGCTCAATGACTCCAAATAAACTTTTAAAACCGCTACTAATTGGCGGTTTTTTTTTGAATTCAGGTGCCAGGTTGTGAAAACGAATAAAGGCATAAACAAATTTACACCTTTAAAAAGAGATAAATAAATTCATTGGCATTTGATTTATGACATCTAATTAGTGAGAGTTTCGTATACATTTTGGCGAAATTCTTCGAGTATTTTGTCATTGTTTTTAACAATTTTAGTAAACTTGAATGCAAAATCAAGCTATTTTTAAATATTTGGAAATTAAGGGACTATTATAATTGTAGGTCAATAGAAGCATACCCCCAGCCTTGAGTATTGATTATTCAAACTGCCGAATTGTTTTGCAAGTTATGACATAAATATTGAGATGTGCCAAGTCTTAATGAAATCAGGTTTAAATTTTCCGTTTTATGAGCTATATGGATACTCAAAAGGTTGGCCTTTTGTGGGGGAGGTACCAGAAGGAGTGGACCGATATATTCCATCTTCACAGCAGATGTTGTGCCAGAAATAATAAGATGTGAGAAATTTTAAGAGAATCGGATGCTTATATCGGATTTTATAATCGCTTTGGATAATTAATTAACCAGAAGGAATGGTCCGATCTCTACCATCTTTATAATGGATCTTGTGTTTATGAAAATACTGAGATGTGCCAGGTCTGAATGGAATCGTATGTTAATATCGTGTTTTTGAGCTTCATGAATATTCAAAATTTTGATCCTCTGTGGGGGAGGTACCAGAAGGAGTGGACCGATATATTCCATCTTAACACCAGAGCTTGGGTTAATACAAATAATGTGATCTGTGTAATCTGAAGACAATCGGACCCTTACTTCACATTTTATAAGAGTTGTAATTAATCAAAATGTTCACTCCTTTTGGGGGAGGTACTTGATTGAGTGGACTGATATTGTCCATTTTCGCTCCAGACCTAGAACTGATACAAATATTAGGATTTGCAAAATTAGAGCAAAAACGGATTATTATTTCTTTTTCTGTGCAAGAATTTTTTTTTTGAAAATTTCGATATTTTGTAGGGAGTTACCAGAAGGATATTGCCGATATTGCCCAACTCGATCTAAGTTTGATAATAATATTACAACGTCCCAAATTTGGACCAAATTGGATACTCCCTTCGAGAGTTTTCGTGCGCACCAGCCAGGCGGACGGACATCGCTAAATCGACTCCAAATGTCCTGAAAACGGATTTGGTCCAAAGAGACTTAGGTTCTAAAACCGTTATTTCGATGAGGCACGTTTTGGCCCTATCAAATGATATATACCCTCTCTAGCCATATGGTTGAGGGTGTAAAAAGCATTGCCTGTCTACACTTGGTCAGTAGTACTACAGGGTGGAACAAAATTACAACATTTTCTACGATAACCGATTTTTCCTTTATGATATTCCAAAACTAATAGATTCTTGCAGGTTCTGGAACAGAGCAATTGTTACTGAAAACAGGCTCCTATCTTTGATTTGTGAATACAGACACGACTTAAATGGGATGAGCAGTTTAACAATGTTCTCAAATCAATGTTTGAATGGATATATCAGAATTATTGTGAGTCGATAGGAATTTTTATCTGTATCTAAGTAAGACTAGCTTTTATTAGAATAGCTTCATAAGGAATAATATTTTTTAATCAAATTAGATTCGAAACTAGTCCCGAACGTTGTGGTTTTTGCTCATCTACACCTTTACCTTCTTTTAGCGATCATCCAATATTCAGGTTTTTATATTCTGCTGCAGCCACAATTGAGTAATTCCCAAATTGCCATATTCAACCACGAGTTTTTTTCAAGAAAAAATTTTTACCATCTGGCCTCCGTTTCTCTCAAAATCGGTGTTTATATTTTTCAAATGCTTCAATATTCAAAAGATGTTATCTTCAAATTCCTAAACAAATAATCGCATTTCCGGTAGTATTAACCGCTCGCGGTTTTCTTTTGTGTTAATAAATCTTCTAAAAAATACGACTAAAATATCGAATGAAATCTGATACCATCTACATTTAATTGTTAAAGAAACAATAGAACCTAATTATTTCAAACAAATTAGGAAGTTTAGCAAAAAATTTATAGAGCAAAACGAAGGCAATTAATTTTCGCGGTGACAGCGTGAGATTGTAGATTTAAATCTTTAGATAATGAAAGTAGCGTTTTTGGTGGAATTTTGTGATATATTTCATTAATCGTAGGGATTGGGGCAAATAAACTTATGGTTTAAGTCTTTTAGATAGGAAACATGATAAAATTAAGAATGTAAAGTCATCCATCTATCCATCTCTGCATTTTTGGTAATATATCCTGTCAAATTTCATTGAATAGAAAAAAGGTTCCCATCTCTGATTTCTGTGAATAGACCATAGATTTGTATATCCTCAGAAATATGGCTAGAGAGGGTATAAATCATTTGATACGGCCAAAACGTGTCTCATCGA